CGGGGCCGGGGTCGGGTGCAGGGCTCTCGGGCTGCTCGGCCTTGGGCCTGGCTCGCCTCCCAGCACAGCTTCTGCAGCTCCCCCTCCCTGCCGCCGTCTCCGCTGGCCTACACAGCCTGGGCCGCACTGAGGCCTGGAGGCGCTCCCTGCCCCCAGCACACATTCCCACCCCCTCCTGCCTGTCCTCCAGAGATTCTCCCTCTCACTACTCACCTCTGTCCCCTGACCCTGTGAATTCACCCCTAGCCCTCCTGTACCACTGTCTGACAAGTCATTCCCAGCTGTCTCCACAACCTCTCTTCCAGCCCTTAGTCCTTCTGTTCCTCTCACTACTGGCCTCCTTGTCTACTTCCTCACTCCCTCAGTTGGCCCCAGTAATTCTTCACATGTCATCATTATCTCTCACCTGTCTCTATTTTACCCAACCCCCTTCTCTGAGCCAATAACCTTTCCACCATTCCCCTTCTGTCCTCTTCCATATCACACTTCTTTTCTCCTGGCCACATTACCCTTCACTAGTTTCCTTCCCCTCTTCTTTACTTGGGCTCCCAGATTCACAGCACACTTGGACCATACTTTGCACAGTTAAACATCAATGCTCATATTGCACAAGCATCTAAATGATCTTCAAACTGGTTAGATGCACATCTTTCTCTATCTCTCTCACACACATATCACTGGTCCCGTGCTCTCATACTCTGACAGATATTCCAGGGACCTCTACAAGCCCTCTCACTACACACGACCACAGCTCCACACACCAAAATGGGCCAGGGAGGCAGTAACGGGACAGTCAAGTCCTTTTGTTTGTGGCTTCCAACTTCAGTTTTAGAAAAGTGTACTTAGTCTCTTTGAGGCAGGAAGTGGGAAGGATGGTGGATAGAGAGGCAGGTAACCTTTATTTATCCTTTGGTCTCCCCTTTCTCTTCATCACTTCATCTATTCCTTCTAGGTTTGTCCATCTGCAAAGTGGAAGCACAACCCAAAATTTCCTCATCAATCTATAGAACTCATCATCATATACCCAGCAGAGATCATTAAACCTAACTCCCAAGGCATATCTCCCTTTCCCCACTACCAATTCAATTCCTTCTTTAGTCTTGTCCATAATCTGGCCCCACCTTTATGCCAGAACTCTTCCCCATCTCTGTCTTTCTTTATCATATCATTGTCCTTATTGCCCTCTGAATTCCAGGTGGCCCATACTTCACTTTGGTAGGAGAGGGGGAGAGCTAGTTGATACACCTATAATCTTATGCTCTGAAGTTTTGTGGACTGGAGGAAACAGTTCAGCTGTTCGAATAATTTGAAGTAATTTGAAGGAATACACACACAAAGAGAGATAATGTCACCCCCTATAAAAATCCCCTGCTCATATTTTCCCCATAGCACCCCATGACCTGTTGAAGGTTGTTTCCACACCTTTGCCATCCCACCCTGCCCTCTCTATCAGAATGATCAGACCAAGGAGCTCTAGGAAATCATCCCATCCCAAAGAAGAACAATCTTTGGAATGGTGATGGAAACCCCTCCCATCCATGGGAATCATAGACCCTTCTCATATTCTCTCATCTCCTCTTTCTCAACCTAAGTAACCTCTCTCCTTTGTTTTCCATTTGTGACATCTCTCCATCTTCAGGGTCATGGTAAGGGCAGAGCTGTGTGCATGTTAAAAATATAGGGAATAAAAGAGGGAAAGAAAGATCCTGGTTATAAATCCTGTACTGGGTCTTCAGGCTCTCAAAAAGTTATCTCTTTGGGCCTCTCTGACTACACACAAACACGCGTAAGCACATCTAGAGATACACACTAATACACAGACACAGAAGCACATAGAGATACTCAAAGAAAATATTTCATGAAGACACAGACACATTGATGGATATTTAGACATACACAGAAAGACACACAATGACACATACAGAGTTCCACAGAGACATACACATATGCACAGATACACACAGAGACACATGCTTTTGTCCTGTATAACCCTTACAGTTGAGAAACTTCCTAGTGGCCAACTTCTACCCATTCTAATGCTAGGTCCTAACAAAAAGTGTCTTCACAGGCTGTGTTCCCTCCCAGTGCCTTTTGATCAGACCTGCTCCTCTGTGCCACTCCTGCCATCTAGACCCTTTCCTGGGTTTCGCATCCCCCTAAATCAGCCTTGACTCCTACTGGAATGCCATGCCACTGCCATCTCTCTGAAATGTAGGTCTTGAGTCTATTCATCACCACAGGGAATACTGTACACCTCTCAAAAGGTACCTCCTCCCCACTTGGCTCCATCCTAAGAGGTCTGTGATCACATCTCTGGTGGGAGAATATCGGGTCTCTGTCTGGGTCTCCCCCAGGTCAGCAGGTATCACCTTTCAAGGAGCCAGAGCACTGGGTGTGTGTGTGGGGGGGGGGTCACTGGGAAGGTGTGAGTGTTTTACATGCCTCCTTGGCCAGCAAACTTCCCCTACATTAGTTAGCGTATGTCTTTGATGGACACGTTCCCCTCCGCAGTTTTACACCTCATTTTCCTCTTCTTTATTCATCAACATGTGTGTCTGTCACTGCTTCTCACATCGCCAGTTTGTCCTTCATATCTCCCTTCCTGAACACAATATTGCTATCTTGTCCTCGACCCCTACCTGGGTATTTGCACAGCGTTTCCCCCTATAACCTTTGGAACATCGCCCAGGGGCCCCGGGAAAGATGCCAGCCAAGAGTGGAGATTTATGTCTGGCGGAAACCCCCTCCTCCACATCTGCAAAGTGGTCCTGGGCCCGCAGACCGCCCCCACTCACCGTCCCTCCGTACTCCCCCAGGTAGATGGCCCCCCCAGGGCAGGCCCTGCGGACACCTCCCCCTCCGGCTGGCGGATGCAGTGCCTAGCGGCTGCTCTAAAAGACGAGACCAACATGAGTGGGGGAGGGGAGCAGGCCGACATCCTGCCGGCCAACTACGTGGTCAAGGATCGCTGGAAGGTGGTGAGTGAGTGACTCGCCGAAACGTAAGGGAAGAATGGAGAAAGAGAGGACCTGGAGACTTGTTAAAACCTGTGCCCTTAGTGCCCTGACCCTAGGAGGGAGGGGCCCTTGAGCTGTTTGCAGATCATTATTTTTGCCTACGTGTATGGAGATTCACTAGTGCCCTTTCTCCAACCCCACCCTCTCTCACCCCTTTCCTCACTGGGGCAAGTTGGTCGAATCCAACCTGAAACAACTCCTGGTTGCTCTTGGTTGAAGGTCCAGGCAAGAGCTGCAAAGCCCAGTGGAGGGAGGAGGGAGAGAAAGGGGCTCTTTCTCCATCGGACCCGGAGAAGGGCAGTGAATGAGCATGTGTCCTTCCACTGTCGCAGAGGACGGAAAGGCTTGGGTTTGGGGGAAGAGGGCCTCCGGCTGCTCCCACCGCATCCGCACTCCATCTTCTCCATCCACCCTCCTCCCCTCACGGGTTCCTGCGGCAGGTGCAACACGCCGAGACTTCATCTCCCAGCGTGCCTTGGTCTTCCAGCCCAGCACTTCAAGCTTCTTGGCCTGCTGGGAGTTGTAGTCCGAATCCTCTCCGGAGTAAGGGGATGGGAGAATAGGGCCTGGGTGGGAGATGAGCGCGTTTAAGTTAAGGGGGAAACCAGTGTTTGAGGAGCAAAACCTACTGTATATCAAACGTTGACCCACCGTCCTTTCTTTTCGTTGCTTGAGAGCTCTCTGATGTTTTATGGGGCAGATGATGTGGTGCGGATTGTGGAATTGATGGGACTGTGAGGGAACCAGCTTGTGTGGGTACGCACTGGAGTGGGGAACCAGATGGAAGGGAGGGAGAACTGCAGAGTTCAGATTTACACTGTGAGTGAGACAGAGTGTGTGTGTGTGTGTACGTACATGTGTCTGTGTGTTCATTTTCACTATTTCAGTGGGCAGAGCTCAGCTTGTTAACTGCATATTGGAGAGGAGGATGGGACCCTGGGTGCAGGCTGGTCTCCAGGGCAACGTCCACCCGATTTACAGGCCCCCCTCAAAGATCCAGGGAAAGAGGCAAAGGCTCCAGCTTTGTCAGAAATGTCTGGGACTGGGGAGGAGCAAAAGGCGCTCCTAAGAGTAAAAGGTCTTGGAGAGGTGAGGGAAGGGCTGCCATTCCTCCAGAGTAGGGGCTCTCCTGAGGAGGAGGCCAGAAATTGAGGGAGGAGGAGCCAGGGCAGAAAGGAAGGAATGGTGGCCCACTAAAATGAGAACTGTTCTTCCAAGACCTCCTGGGGCTCCTGGTACAAGTTCTTGATTTCTGGAGGCAGGATGACATTTGCTCTGAAATTATGAAATCTAATGATGCTAATACACATGGTTTCCATAAGAGTTTGAATTAAGACTTTTGTTTTCTGGGGAAGGGAATAGGAAGTAATGACAGTTGGATAGGATGGATAGGGTTGGGTAGGGCGGTGGTGTGAGGCTTGCTGGTTACCTCTCTTTCCCCACCCACTTCCCATAGCACTCCACTCTTGCCTCTGGAGAATAATAAAGTATCTGCAAAACATAATAAAGTGAAGTGCAATAACACAAGATATGCTTATAGATATTATCACTATCTCCATTTCACAGATATAGAAACTGAGGCACAGAGATAAGCAGCTTTGTCAAATTCCTACAGCTAGTAAGTAGAACCAAGTTCTACAGCTGAGTCAACAAGAGTTGCTATAAATTTTCAAGACAGGGCTCAGTCAAGAATCAGGACCATGGAGTAGAAAGAGTCTTTGCTACATGTTTTGATTAAATTCTCTGTGTTTTACAGAGGAAGAAATATGGAGAGTCTAAGACACTCACCCCAGCTCCCCCAGATCTGGGCCTACATTAAGAAACCATATCTTTTTCCCTAGATGAATGTTAATCCTCTGTGCAAACTTCTCTTCCAGTTTGTTGTTGTTGTGTATTGTTGAGTTAGAACCGACCTATAGCTGACCCTTCAGCAGGTTTTCAGAGACAGTAAATGATATGGGAGGAGATTGTCCATCTTTATCCTGCACAGAGCAGCTGGTGGATTCAAATTCTGCGCCTTTCCCCTCCAGTTTAGGAAAGTACTTCTACAGGGAAAGGGATTATTAGATATTCAGAAGATGAGGGATAGGGTTGGGAAAAGGGAGGATGAAGAATATTACTGCTAATGGCTGGGCCACATTTTTACATTTTTGGGTTGCTTTCTAAAACATACTAAAAATAATGTTTTATGACTTAGTGTAAAGATGAATATATTAGTATATTATCAAACATTTTCTTTGACCTAAAATTCATTTTTGAGAGAAATTAGAGTCTTTTCATGGGCTTACCCTGTGAGGCTGTAGAACAGAGCAGGACTGTCTGCATGGTTTCTACTTCTCCCACAGTGTGGCTGGTGGGTTTGAACTGCCGATGCTGATGCTTTGATTGTTGTTGTTATGTTCTGTAGAGTTGGAACCCTCCCACAGCTGACTCTCCAGCAGGTTTCCAGAGGTATTTAATAGCACAGGAGGAGACTGCCCATCTTTCTCCTTTGGAGCAGCTTGTGGCCTTGAACCCATGCCTCTGGGGTTGCAGGGCATCTTCTTGCCACTAGGCCACCAGAGCTCCCTGATGCTTTGATTAGCAGCTGAATTCTATAACCAGCGCACAACCAGGGCTCATTAGGGGCTTCCTAAACCCACTGCTGTTAAGATAATTCTGACAGCAACCCTTTGCCAGGTTTTTGAGGCTGTAAATCTTTTTTTTTAGAGTTTTTTTAATTTTTTTTATTTTTATTTTTTATTTTGTGTGCGTGTACCGTCAAATCAGATCTGACTGGTACAGGAGGATATTGCTCCTCCTTCTCCAGCAGAGCATCTGGTGGATTTGAACCGTGTTCCTCTGTGATTGCAGTGCAGCGCCTTGCCACTAGGCCACCAGAGCTCCCGAGGCTGTAAATCTTTAAGGGAGGAGATTACCCATTTTTCTTCCATGGAGTGGCTGGTGGATATGAACTGGTGACCTTTTGGTTAGCAGCCAGATATGTTACTCATTGTGTTACCAGGGGCCCCGGAAAGTATGTGGACTTAGTTGCATCTCTAATGCATAAGTCTGCCTTGCCTGTAGGGTCCAGGCAGGTAGGGTGTTAGGTGAATGGGTAAATGCTGATGCCTACTGCTGCCTCAGGTTGTGTTAGTGTAGAAGGGGATGAGGCAGGGCCCAGGAAAAGGGAAGTGGGCTGTGTTTGGAAATAAAGGTATAGAGAAATAACCCGTGGGCACTCTGGGAAATTTAGTAAGTGTCATGGCTTTTTAGAGCCCTACATACTTACCTCTAGTCAGACTTTTTGGAGCACAGCAGAGTGAGGCTTGAATCTCAATACTCACACTTTTTAATATTTTATTGTATTTTTTGAAAGTATACACAGCCAATCAGATTCCTATCCCATTTCTCTCCACAATGCTCAGGGACACAGATTACGTTCTTCAGTTCATGTCAGTAGTCTTCTTATTTCCATTCTAGTTGCTCCACTCCCATTCATTTAGTCTTCCTGCCCCTCAGACTTCCATCTGTGCTTTAGAGTAACGGTTGCCCATTTGGTCTCGCATGAACAGTTTTTTAAAAGCACATGGTTCTCCAGGTTGAGATTCTGCACACACACTTTTAATCCTGATGGGGTTGGCAGTCCCTGTAGTGCAGCCATTAAAGTGTAGGTTTTGAATCACATTAGGAGTGAGCTGTTTGTATATATAGGCTGCTAACCAGAAGGTTGACACTTTGAACCCTCTCACAATCTCTGCAGAAGAAAGGCCTGGTGAACTGCTTCTGTAACGATTACAGCCGAGAAAACTCTGTGGGCAGTTCTGCTCCGTAACACATGGGGTCGCTGTGTCCTGGGGGTGGACTCTGAGGCAGCTGACAACCCGCAGTGTAAGCCAAGGCAAGAGGCTTACCTCTCTGGGTTTCCCTCATGTGCACAGAGGCACTGATAGGCCAGCCTCACCTGAAGTCCTTTGGGGGTTAACTGAGGGACCTCTTTGAGTCCGGAGGGCAGATCCTGAGGTTCGGTGGTTTGACCTAGGCTCAGTGTCCATTCCTCCATGGCCACACATCATAAATCATGAAGGACTCCAGAAGATTTTAGTCTCCTGTGTGCTTAAAATTCCTCAGAGCAAGGCTGCTTTTGAAATTCTTACAATGTCTGACTTTCCATTTTCCTCTCAAGAAGAGAAGGACTTTGGTTTTTCATTATTCTTTCTCCTACCTCTTTCCCTGTCAGCTTCCTGAGCACAAGAGTCTTCAAGTCCCCAGCCAGCTTTTCTCCCTTTTTTCTGATTCTTGCCTTCACTCCTCTCTTTCTTGAGGGATTTCAGCTGTTACCTGCTGGAAGCTGTCACCCTCTGGCTCTGCTCCTCTGTTCTGTCCATTTGTGGATTGCAATCATTATTAAACATTTAGGGAGCTCTGGTAGTGGAGTCCATAGAGAGTTGTTCTACTAACTAAGCAAAAGGAGGCACTTCTCTGGGGGTTCATATCCACCAGCGGCTCCTCAGAAGAAAGATGGGCAGCCTCCTCCTGTGTAATTTACAGCTTCTCAAAGCCCACTGCAGGGTCAGCAATGAGTCAGTTCCGACTCACTAGTGAGGAAAGTTGTTGTATTAAACATTTACTTGGCATCCAGTGTAGGACACATGCTGAAAGGCAGGCAGATCTAGACGTAGAAGCACTGACTGCCTGGCTGGGGCTTAGGGCAGCCTTGTTCCAGGCACTAACAAGCCCAGCTGTGAATGCAGAGTTACAGCCCCACAGGACACAGTGAGGATTTGGGAAGATGCTCAGAGAGGGCAGGCCACCCATGAGGGACATGCTCCCTGGGCAGCGTGGAGTCGTGCAACTCTTTGAAACTGAAGGAGCCCCAGCCTGGACTCAGTACCTTCTGCTTCTTCCTCCATCATTGCCAATGGCAACCTCACTCTTCAAAGGCCTTGAAATCTGTGAACTAAAATTATTCTCTTTTTTTAATTGTTTGTTTTTTAATTGTTATTTTAATAAAATAGTTTATAGAGAACTTGGATTTCCATTCATTCATTGTTGCACATTTTTCTCCTTTCCTTCTTGGTCTCCCCAGTTCGCTTTTTTCTTTGGAAAAAAATTCTCTCATTGTTATACAGCCTCCCCGCCCCCGTCCCTGTCCACTTTACTATGCGACTCTTATTCTGGACTCTTGTCATGTTGAAAGGATTCTTAATCCCCCATATCTCAATTTTGTTTACCCACTCCTATTCCCTCCACCAATTCTCCTTCATCACATTCTCCTTTCCTCACCCTCTGCACCCCTAGGCACCTCATTATCTCATCTTTCTGTTTTCCTCCAACAACCCCTCGGCCTCCAGTTTTTCCTTCTCAGTCCTTTCCCTTGGACTGAATCTCTCGTGTCCTCATACCATAATGGTACACTGTAAACCAGCTTCTGGGAACATTCTTCCCTCTCCTCCATGTCTTCATTCAAAATGGAATTTATTAAGCACCTACTAATTGCTCTGTAAGGAGTCCTGGTGGCCTAGTCTGTAGGGAACTATGCTGCCAACCCAAAGGCATGCCTCTTTGAAGGTTCCAATCTACCAGTGGCTTCAAGAGAGAAAAGAAGGGAAATCCCCTCCCAGGCTGTTGACAACTCTGAAAACCCAGTGGAGGGGCTGCAGAGAGTTTTGAATTGCCCAGTAGAGGGAGCTATGGTGGTGTAGTCTGTGGGGAGTGGAGTTGTTAGCTCAAAAGCAAGGCCTCTGGAGGGAGAAAGATGGTTAATCTCCTCCTGGGCAATTGATAGTCTCAATGGTGAGCCAGCTGCCCAAGACTCTGACTTGATGGGAATGAGTTTGAGTTTGAGTTGTCCAGAGTCCCTTAGATGGGGCAAATGGCTAACTAACTATTCGGCTGCTGATTAAAACGTGTGTTTTTAACCCAATTTCAAAGAAAGACCTCATGATCACAAGTGGGGTCACTACAAATAAAAGTCGATTTATTGCCAACTGCTTTGGGGTTTGGCTTAGATTCTGGCACCTTCTAGAACTTCTAGGCTCAGAGTCTGGCTTCCAAGCCCTCTTTGGTCTCCTCCTACCTATCCAGGACTACTGGCTGCTATGGTTTGTAGGGAGTTGTACCACCAACTCAAAGGGAGCACCTCTTGGGAAATTCAAATCCACCAACAGCTCTGCAGGAGAAAAATGGGAACTTTCATCCTGTTCAGTTTACAGCGTTAGAAAACCTACTCTTTTTGTATAAGTTTTGTGTGAGTTATGAGTCAGTTCTCATTTGACGGCAATGAGGCCGAGCCACCCAGCCAGCTTTCAGTCCTAGGGTGCCTCCCTCTGGCCTAAGCAGTTCCCTCATTGAGCTCGCTGTACGTTCACGGAAGGGCCACACTGGGCTGATCACTGGAGACCCTGCTGCAGCGTTTCTGGGTCTCTACTGATTATAACTTGCTTGAAATCTAGTTCCTGTGAATGGTGATGCGATTCAGTATACTTCCAAGGACTCAGCCTGATCCTGATTGCCTCCCTGTCTCCCTGCCTCCCTTCAGGGATGGGGCCAAGAATGGATAGGGTCCACTCATTGCTTTGACCTTAGCAGTCTGATGTGGGCACAGTGGGCACCACCAGAATGATCTTGTCTCCTCTTTCCTTTCCATGTGAGGGCTTCAGGTGGACTGGAATGCTGGGGGAGGTGGGACACGGGGTTGGATCACTGCTGCACCCCTGGTAATGGAAAAATCCTTCTAAGTCTCTGAACCCACCATGCTAACTCAAAGCCCCACTGCCTGGAGAGAAGGTGTGCCCTGGCTTTGGTCACCTGACTAGGGGCCTGTGCAATTGTGGAAGTTCCTACAGTGGAGTGGTGTGAGCATCCACAATGGAATGGTGTGAACTTGTGGAGTAGTGTGAACATTCATAGTGGAGTGGTGTGAGCATCCTCAGTGTGGTGGTGTGAGACTGTGGAGTGGTGTGAACATTCACAGTAGAATGATGTGAGCCTGTGGAATGGTGTGAGCATTCATAGTGAAGTAGTGTGAGCCTGTGGAGTGGTGTGAGCATCCTCAGTGTAGTGGTATGAACATTCACAGTGAAGTGGTGTGAGCATCCAGAGTAGACTGGTGTGAGAATCCATCGTAGAACGGTGTGAGCATCCACAGTGGAGTAGTGTGAGCCTCTGGGGTGGTGTGAGCATCCACAGTGGAGTGGTGTGAACATTCACAGTGGAGTGGTGTGAGCCTGTGGAGTGGTGGGAACATCCACAGTGGAGTGGTGTGAGCCTGTGGAGTGGTGTGAACATTCACAGTGGAATGGTGTGAGCCTGTGGAGTGGTG